CCGAGAAACCGACCGTTCCCTGTTCTATAGGGAAATACGGATTTCTACCAGAAAGGGTTTTTCTTCTTTTATGTTTTTTACCCTGGTGAAATGAAGTCAGTTTTGAAATTATTTGCAGGATTGAACACCCTTCTTGCACTAAACTTTCTGGAAATGCTGATGACAAGGACTGTGACCCTGAATTTAACTCATTAAAGAGAAAGCCAAGTAAGAAACAGGACATTAGGCTTTTCATTGCCTGTGTAATCTAGCACAGCCTGGTATATTCTGAACAAACCATTTTTATGATTTTACACTAAACCGATCAACTGTGGGAGAATGAAGACTATTGCAGAGCACAATTGACAGCATCTACACATCCCTGGGTACAAAGCCCAAGCTACAGTAGCTCACAACAGCCACGTACCAGGTCTCTCATAAGGAAAAGTTTAAGCAGAGGCATTCAGTAACATTGGTAAAATTCCCCTTGATCACTTCCCTTTCCGGTTCTCAGAACACTGCAAATACCAAGAACTTAATTAGAAGCACAAAGCCTTACAGAGAACTGTTCTGCCACTGGTACCCGTAAAATCACGCTGTGCTTCCAATACTACTTTGAGTGGCTAGATATATAGTTTTTTTCTATTTTGTGGGTAGGTAGTGCATAAACCAGACTTTTAAAACAGTAATTTAAAATGTACACCTTCTTCAGTAAAGAAATCTTCTACAGATGCTTGTGGGCATCGGTGATAGTAAAAACTAATTTTAGTTCTGTCAATGAATTTTTAAACACGAGCCCAACACACACACATATACAAAAAAAATAAAAAAGGGAAAAAAATAAAAAAGGAAAAAAACCCAAAACCAAAACCCCAAAGGCACTGCAGTTGTTACAGAAGCAATTAGGTTGGAAAAGACCTCTGAGATCGAGTCCAACCTACAAGTGAACACCACCATGTCAACTAGATGCAGTGCCACATCCAGTGTTTCTTTAAACACCTCCAGGGACAGTGACTCCACCACCTTCCTGGGCAGTCCATTCCAATATCTGATCACCCTTTCTATGAACAAAGTGTTCCTGATGTCCAACCTGAACCTCCTCCGGCACAGCTTGAGGTCAGGTCCTCTTGTCCTGCTGCTTGTTACCTGGTGGAAGAGAACGACCTCCACCGGGCCACAGCCTCCTTTCAGACAGTGGTAGAGAGAGAGAAGGTTATCCCTGAGCCTCCTCTTCTAGAAACAGCACGGAAGACCATCCAAACACCACCACCTCCTCAGAGATGATACTGTGAGCCCAGCACGGCTGCGCTTGGCCCTGAGGTTGAAATTTGCCAGCACAGAGGAGGTGCTCTAGGGCAGTGGAGCCACACACCTGCAAAGCCATTAGGACACGGCAGCAGCTGGAAACAACATAGGGCGAGGCGGACCTGGCACGGCCACCCGTCCCCTACAAGCAGGCGCTACCGAGAGATCCCGAATCTCTGCAATTGCAAATCTCCCCGCACACAGGGTGTCTCGGAGAGACTTAGCCCCCCCGGCTGCACAGACACGTCTGTCTGACGAGCAGCACCCGAACGACCTCGATACGGCCGGGACGTGTCCCCTCGACAGGGACTGGGACGGCCGTGTCAAGGGGGCAGCCGAGCCCCGCTCCCGGAGCAGCCCCGCCCGTGCCCTCGTCCCGGCCCCGTGGGACGGCCGCCCCTCCCCGCCGCCTCACCGGCCGCGCTGCCCCGCAGCCGTTCGGGGACGCCCCTCAGGTCTCCGTGCAAGCCGCGGAAGATCTCGTGCAGCCGCTCCAGGTGCTCCGAGGAGCCGGTCCCGCGGCCCGCCATGGCCCCACAGCCCGCACGGTCCCCCCGCCCCGCACGGCGCTTCCGCCGCCGGGGGCGCCCCGCGCTGCCTGCCGGGAGCTGCAGTCCCGGCGGGGCGTGTGAAAAGGTGTTCCGAGCGCCGCTGCCGACAGGCGTCGCTGCGCTGCCTCCGCAGGCACTTTGCGGCTTAGTAACTGCGGAATGCGAGTACGACGGTGGCTTCAGGATGAACACAGGGACGCGGGTCGGAGCCGTGCTCTGCCCGGGGTAAAGAGCAGCGGGCTGCTGGCATGAAGCCGCCCGGCCGGCCTCCCGTTGCGCGCGGGTACTCCCAGCGGGGGCACTGGAATCTCCGGGAACACCTGGCGTGGCCGGCCCGTTCAGAAATGCTCCGTGTGCCGCGAGGGGCGTGTCCCGAGGTGTCGTGGGCGTGTCCTGAGCTGGTGCGGGCGTGTCCCGGGCGGGGCGGGGCGGGGCAGGGCGGTGGTGCGGCCGCGGAGCGCCGGGTGCCGGCAGAGTGCGGGTAAGCGGCGACAGCGATGCTCAACTGCTGGGAAGTCGCACTGGGTGCCGCCGTCTCCGTCCCCGTCCTCCTTTTCGTGGCAGCGCCCTACATCAGGTGCGTCTTACCGAGCACGACCCCGACTCCTCGCGCGCGCTCGGCCCCGCGGAGCGGCGGCGGCTGCCGAGGGGCGCGGGGGGGGCGCGCGGCGCGTTTTAGGGCGGCCGGGTGCGCCCGCCCGCGCGAGGCTGTGTGTGTGCGTGTGCGTGTGGCGGGAGGGCGAGCAGCGGGAACCCCCTGCTCCCAGCCTGCGCTGCACTCAGGAATCATTCAGGCTTCCCCTGCTCCGGTGCCACTGACGCGCTCACGGCAGGAGCTGGGATGCTCGGGGGTCGGGGCTCAGCCCACCCCCATGGCCCGCCCGGCGCTTCCCCGGCTCTGTCCCGGCGCGGCACCGGCGGCGCTCGCGGAGGGGAGGCGGGGGCGGGGCCCTCGTTCACCTCAGGGCGCGGCGGCGCCGCTCATTGGTCAAAAGGAGCCGGAGCGCGCTGCCGCAGCCAATGGGAGCCGTGGCCCCACTTGGCGCACGGGCGGGGCCGGGGGCGGGGCCTGGCTCGGCAGAGCGGGGGGCGCGGGGAGCGCTCCCGGTGCCCCGGTGGCGACTCGGCCGTGATCGGCCTCTCCGGGTGACGGCGCCCGTAATCCCCCGGGGCCCTGAGCGCAGCGGTGAGCCTCAGTGCTGGGGCGAACGCTGCGGCTCTGGGTGCTCAGCCCCGGCCCGAGCCCCCGGAGAGGCTGAGGTGACTGGTGCCTTCCCCTCTTGCAGGAGGTATGTCGCTGGAGGACGCTGTAAGTCGACAGCAAAGATGGAGGGGAAGGTGGTGATAATCACAGGAGCTAACACAGGCATCGGGAAAGAGACTGCCAGAGACCTAGCACGGAGAGGCAAGTCACAACTCATCAGCAGGCATCCCTGTGCGGCTGAGGTGGCCGTGCCTGTGTGTCAATAGTCCCATTTCTGGACCCAACAGAGGAGTGTTTCATATTTACATTGAAGTCAGTTTGATTCCAGCGTTACTGCAGATAAGCCCAAGTGTTGGTCTTCCAGAGTCTGTAACTACTGAGGTGCAAGTCCCCAGTTCTTCAACTGGTTTCATTGCTTGAAGTCCAAAAATGTGCCTTGGGTACATGGAAATGCTCTGCACTGCAGCTGGTTTGACAGGGCTGGGGAAGTTCCTAGTTATCACTGGGTTCTGCTTGTATGAAGCTGGGAAATGCCACAGGTCCACTGCTGTGTGCTTTACTTACTCATATTTTAAGCTAATTTGTTTTTTTGGGTAACCGATAAGAAGATTAAACTACCTGATCACAATCCGTTTAGAAATTACGCTGGTATCCAAGTACCTTTATGTGCCCCTGACTTGACATTCCCGTTATGGGGCAGATCAACCCTCTCATACCAGTGTTGTGGTACATACTCCTGATCTAGGAGAACCTGCACAGAGGCACTTCAGATGTTTTTTCTTGGTCTGAAAGCATCCTTTGGTTGAATCATAGCTTACAATATAGTAGGAAAGGCTTTGTGCCTTACAGCTGCCCCCCTGACTGATGCCAATTCCCCAAAGAAAAAGTATATTGTTCGTAATGCTGTGTATAGTCAGCCTCCTTGCTGTAGCCTTGATCATCCAGTGTGTTCCAGTGATCCGTTTCTGTTCTTGCTGTTCTCCCCTCCCCTCTTTGCAGGTGCGAGGGTGATCATTGCTTGCAGAGACATTGCAAAGGCAGAAGCTGCAGCCAGTGAAATCCGAGCTGAGACAGGGAACCAGCAAGTCATTGTGAAAAAGCTGGACTTGGCTGATACAAAGTCAATCCGGGAGTTTGCTGAGAAATTTCTAGCAGGTACAGTCTCTAGATCATTCTTTTCAGTGAGAATATTTTACCAAGGACTGCCATCTGCTCTTCTAGCCAATGCTAAATCCCTGCCCTGCATATCTGTACCATGTTGGATACTGTGGTTCACAGCAGGGGCAGGTCAGAGGCTATGAGCTAGTTTGTGGTAGGAGACTTATCCATTTTTTTTTTGTGGTGATGTGGCTGCAACTCAGACAGCAAGAGGTTTTTTGGCTGATGTGTGCTGTCTGTCTTCATTCTCTGTTTCCCTGATTAAGGATGTCTGTTGTTTCTTGCAGAGGAGAAGGAACTCCATATTCTCATTAATAATGCTGGGGTAATGTTATGCCCTTATTCCAAGACTGCTGATGGCTTTGAGATGCATATGGGAGTCAATCATCTTGGTAAGGCCAGTCAAATCATGTTTGCACTCAATATAAGAACTCTAGAATGGTTTGGGTTGGAAAGGACCTAAAAGATTGTCATCTTTCAACACCAATATCTGAGGCGAAATGCTGAAGGAAAATCCTGCTTTCAGATTTTGAGGAGCAGAACTTTAAGGCCCAAAAAAAGTTTAGCTGTTCATTCAAGGGGGTTTTGTTTTTCCTGGACTTGAAATGAGGGCAGCAGTAAGATACAACATATAAGCAAGCAGGGGAACCCTTCAGAGGATGACCTTTCGTCTCACCCCTAGGTCATTTTCTCTTGACTTTCCTGCTGCTGGAGCGTCTGAAGCAGTCTGCCCCAGCCCGCATAGTGAACGTGTCCTCCCTGGCTCATCACGGAGGCCGAATCCGCTTTCATGATCTCCATGGTGAGAAGAGCTACAACCGTGGCCTCACCTACTGTCACAGCAAATTGGCTAACGTGCTCTTCACCCGGGAGCTGGCGAGGCGGCTGCAAGGCAAGTTCCAGAGCCAAAGGGAGTGTTTTTCTGCTTGGCTTTTTGAGCACTGTGGATGGGGACAGTGGGTGGAAGAAAGGTCTGGAAATCGACTATGAAGAAATTGAATGGTTTGAGGCAAGTGTCACTGAAAGCTTTTTGCAGGAAGAAAATATCTCCTGTCTGTGGAACCAGGAGACTTACAACACTAATTGTCTTTACAGCAGGGCAGAAGAGTTTAGTAGCTTGGCACAGTTGAATGTATCTCCTTTTTCTTTGGTGCTTGTCAAAAACTAGCTGCATCCACACAGACAGTTGTGGTATGTGAGTGGAAGCTGAAAACAGAACTACAACTTCAGTCTCCAAATAGAAAAGCTAATGCACACTCAGCTGCCTTAAATGTTGGTGGGTGGTAGAACAAGCATAAGACTAGACAGTACCTCTTAAGTCACAGCATCTGTCACAGTCATGTCATTCACTTAAGTAGTATTTATTTACTAAAACAGAAGCAGTGTCTTCCCCAGGAAGTTACTGTTAGAGTAAATCAAAAGAAAGAGGTGTTCTCAAAAGCCTGATGGAAACTGCTGCTGTTTTAGCACTTGGGCCCTCTAGCACTTTGTTTTGCAGAAGGCATGGAGAGACCGCAGTGTTTGGAAGGGAGCGGGGAATGCTCCAGTGTCACAGATGAGGGATTTAGAACACTTAAAGAATCTCCATCAAAGATATTAGCAAAAGTGGTTTTAACATGATGTCATAAAAGTTTGACTTAACAAAGTTCGATGGCAAAGTTCACTCTATTACTGCATGGAAGAAACTTACGAAGGAAAGTTGAGTTAGAATGATTCACACGAGACTAGAAACACAAAGGGTAAGGAACACCCTCGTGTTGAGTAGTGAAGTTCAGATTAGACCCCTTGGCTTTCTAAACTCCATAGGAAGCCTCGATGCAGCTAGCTTCAGTCTTAGTCTCAGACTTCGACAATGATTTATGTCTGATGGAATTATTTATACAAAGTTTATAGTAATTATTACTGAGTTGCTATATGGATTGGTAATGTTTCCTCAGTATTAATTCAGCATGCCATCAGTCAGTTACTGAAGATCTGTGGCAAGCAAGGGTCTCTCCGCCTGGGTCAGGAAGGCTTTCTTAGATTCAGATAAGGAATCTCTAAACCTTGAGAGGCATCTCTGCTCAAGGGGAAAGTCACCTGGTGTGCAGTCCAGTTGCAGCTTGGGCTCAGCTCCAGATGGGCTCATCCAAAGGTGCGCTGTTGCGGGAAGGTCTCTGCCTTGAGGAGCAACCTTGAGAAGTGACCCAACTCAAGGGGAGGACGTCACCATGCAGTCACACTGCCTGGTAGGGAGCGCTCAGAGAAGACTCAGTTAGGCTGTCATACTCATGGAATAAAGTGGTTGGCTTGTAGTCAAATTCCATACAGTGGGAAAGGTACACATTAGACTCATTGTATCCACAACTATCTTTGTTCCTTGATAAATCAGTCTTGGAAAAGCCACATGCTACTTGTGTTAACTGAATGATGCTTTTCCAAGTTCCTGTGCACTGGTGCTCACTGTCCTCTTTGTGGGTTTCCTAGAGGAGTTCTTCGTCCAGACAGGGCTCAGGCCTTTACCAAACTACTGCTGGTTTGCTTAAAAGGTGAAGTGTATCCATCACATCCAGCAAGCAGTAACTACAGAGGACTTCACTTAGTTCTGTGTCCACGTCTGGACTCCTCCTTTAGGAATATCCACATATTCCTTACAGAATATCTGCGGGTAGAATTGAGGAGTATATTACCCTCTTTTTAAAGACACTTTGATGCATACAGATTTGTCCTGAACTACTTTATTTTGCCATAGGCACTAAAGTGACAGCAAACGCTCTCCATCCTGGTTCTGTCTATTCTGACTTGGTCCGGCACTCATTTGTAATGACTTGGCTGTGGAAGATATTCTCCTTCTTCTTGAAGACACCTTGGGAAGGAGCTCAGACCAGTGTCTACTGTGCAGTAGCTGAGGAACTTGACTCTGTGACAGGACAGTATTTCAGGTGGGTGCGAGCTGATGAAGAGATACACTGTGGAAGGCTACCCTGTTGACTGGGCAATATGAGACTTACTCTCATTCTTCATTAAAAAGGGACTGGATATGAGGCTGTCTGTTAAGACTGAGGGTGACAGCTACTAGACCATTACCCCTGCCAGCTCTGTTGCCACTGCGTTAGAAGAAATCCCTGACCTGTGTAACACTTCACACAATAGCAGGTCCTTTAGTGCCAGGAATATCAACGTACTCAAAGTACAGGAATGGCTGTCACATGCTCAGAGCTCTCATCTGATCTGTGACTTGGGAAAAATCACTTTTCTGTAGAACTGTTTAGTTAACGAGGTCACTTGAGTAAGTTCTGGAAAGACCACTTCAGTTCTCTTTGTAGTTTTACCCCACTGAAGCAGAAGGGGTCTGTGCTCCCAGGGAGCTGTGAGGGCTGATGGAGATGCAGAGTTAGGAGGTGAGATTTTCAGGTCTGGCATGTAACAAAATAACTTGATTCTCCAGCGTGACAGACCCACTAGCTGGCAGGGACTCCTGTTTGTCACTCTATCCTGCAAATGGTCTTGTGTAGCTCCCACTACAAAACCTGTTATTTCTTGGCTATTTTGACTTACTCCGGGACCCTGCACAGTCCTGGCTTTTCCCATCACCAAAACTACAGCCTGGAGCAGTTCCAAATCATCATCATCCTAGATTTTAAGACTGCCATTTGAACAGATTCAAGCAGATATGTCTGTCAGCTTCCTACTGGATGTAGAGCACTGTAACAATCTTATTTTTTGGGAAACAAATGTGAAAATTTTTCTGTCTTCCCCTCCCCGCCCCCCCAGATTCTGTTGGAGCCTTTGTGTCTTGGCAGAGCTTTCCTCTTGCGATTCGTGACCAGATTAGTCTCTGTAATGACTTTGCCTGATCTTTATTTGGGAGTTTGTAGTATCTTAATCAGACTTGAACATATAAATAGGTGTCCTTATCTTCCCTGAATGACTGTCCATCCCAGGATAAAAACGGAGCATTTATGTGCTAGAGTACAGAAAACTTTGATGGATTTTAAACTCAGAAAAAAAGGGAGATTCGGACTTTGTGGGAAATGAGTAGCTTCAACAGTAATTCATAATTAACATCGGACTAGCCTAAAATCCTTTTCACTTTCCAGGCTGTAGACTATAAAGAACAAGTATAGACATTAAGAAAAGAATTTACATGCTACAAGAAGACAGGTAGAGTCCACCAGAGTCATTTCAGGAACATCAAAGACTGTGGACTTGGAGTTCTAAAAACACTGGGCTGAATGGAAACCTTATAAGATGCCATTTCTTCTGTGCTCTGAAACTCCCCTTTATTGCACAATCTAGCATTACAGATGAGAACACAGGATCTCTATTCCAGACAGAGTGCTGAGAAGAAAGGAGCCACAGTTTAGAGGATAATGGAAAAGGGGATAACCATGCATAGTTATTACAGTATGATTATTCTTGGGCATATCGTGGGATGAATAGGATGGGATAAACAGTTTAGAACGAAGGGCTGTTTGAATGGCTTTTTTGTAGTGTTTGCTAGAAAAGGTGCCCCTGAAGAAGCTTGGTTAGCATTAATAGCCCTTTCTAGTGGTATTAATGAGAATGTACACTGAAGAGGTTTCTTTAAGAGTTGAAACAACAGATAAAACTAGACTTGTCAGTTCTTGGTGCTGTTGGGAGAGATTCTGCCCTAAAAGCTTTCTCATGGTGGCTTAGCACCAACCCTTACTCCTTTGCTGGATAGCTTCTTCAACTGGTCTTGAATTAAATTGATCAAAAGCAACTCCCTTATCTTGACACAGACATTTTAGTGTGCTAATGCAGATGGAGATCTTGGACTTAACAAATTAAAAGAATGTTCCTCTTACAGTGACTGCCAGCCAGCATACGTATCTCCTCGTGGCCGGGATGACGAGACAGCAAGGAAGCTCTGGAGTGTGAGCTGTGAGCTCCTTGGCATCCAGTGGGACTGAGCAGCACAGACCTTGTGTATACCTGGCTGAGTCCAGTGATGCTTCTCTGGGGAAGAGCACTGCTGAGAGACCTCAGGAGTAGAATGCTGTACTTCAGCTGCCCCAGTGATGGCTCTGTGGGCATAACCTACTTTGAATTTCTGGAATACTACACTTAAGAATTGAGATTTGTAAGCAATCACTCCTTTTCCTAGCTGGAGAATTAAAGCACTGATGCAAGGAGCAACCTTTGCTTGGTATCTCACACAACAGCCCAAGGCTATTGTCCTCTGGCTTTAGAATAGAAAGGGAGGTTGCAGTCTTAGGTTTAGATTATGAAAAAAAAAAAAAAAAACTTAAATAAAGTTTGGTTGTGGTTTTTTTCCTAACAGCAATAGTAAAAAGGTAGGACTCTAAACTTACGATCGAAGGTTATGTTCAGTTCCTACAGTTTGACCTGGCAGAGTGAAAGTACTCTAGGATATTAGATTTTCTGACAAGTAAATGCAATACAAATGCTCTCAAGCACACAGAAACAGGTGTGGGCCTTTCTGTGCCAAGCAATAGGTAACATTTTTAAGTGGAATAATTTTTCTCTTTAAGTAGCTGGACCCTAGCCACTGAAGTATCCTGGCCCTAAGTGCCCATTGATTGCAGTGAGTTCACTGAGGGTTGGGCATATCTTCTGAGAACCCAGGTCTCAGTGCGGGTGGCTGGGAGGTTAAAAGTTGCAGGAGCACTGTAATTGTGCATGGCCAAGTTACCTTATTAAAGAAATCAACATCTCTCCTGTAAAACACTGAGCAAAGATGGTATAAAAATTGTCACAGTAATCCCCCCAGCTGCACTTTAAAGGACTTTAGAACCTAGAAAAGAGAATGAGTGAATAAAGAAAATCTGAACTGTGTCAAAAAATATTAAACAACTATCTTTTTTGTGCTATTATGGTTGAGCCAGCTACAGCACAGGAAGGTAAGATATACAGAAATCCTGGCATTTGTCTGCCCAGCAGTTACTGGCCTTGGCTGGCCTTGGCTGGCAGTCAGCCTGAGCAGGACCACACAGCTTGCACTTCCACAGGTCAGCAGGGTCAGTCCACATAGCAACAAGACTGCTCCCTTGGAACTCTAGTGCTACTTGGGTGCAATTGCAGGAGTCTGATCTGTAATCAGATTATTTCTGAAAGAGTTAAGCAGTCAGAAACCAAGTGCCACATCTCATTGGATTATCTTCTGCTTCTGAAAAAGTCTGGAAATTTTTGGATTTGCATATGAGCCTGCCACTGTGACCAACTGCCAGTTTTGGGAAACAAATGCTAATTTTAATTCTTTCTGTCTGGATGTTATCTATGCAGATCAGTCCTGTGCTACCTCTGAGCAATACTAAATAAAGCCATTTTCCTTTTACAACAGGAGACCGTATCTTCTTTCAGAAATGTTGAATCAGTTTACTTGGTGTTGCTGTTACCAGCTGCTGCCTTGCTAATGTAGAGAACTCAGTTCAGGTAACATTTCAAAGTCCATTTGTGTTTTTCCCTGTCGCTGTACCTTATTTCCCTCCCTATTTCTGCTTCATCCCGATAATGAAGCTAAATTCACAACTCCAACGTAGCAGTAGAATGCTACCTAGCATTGGAGACTAGGCTTGCTTTCTCTGTGTGATTCTCTGATCCTGAAAGTATTTTTCAGGAGCAAGAGAAACCATTTCTTTAAAAGCAGAAAGTGCCTCTAGTGTGAAATATTTTTGCCCTTGCAGGTCAATGCTCTTCACAAAGAAGACTGATTGTAGATTTAACTTAAGACATATTAGACTACATATTTCCATAGAGAGACACCCACTCATTTTGACCTTGAGCAAGTCATTTATACTTCTCAGCTGATCTGTACAAAATTGAGGGAACTAAAGCTCATTTAGCTGTCTCAAAGGGAAGCTTGTAAGGGACAGTTAGATTAACTAGCAAAGCTCTGAAGAGGATTACTAAGTACACGTATGAGGCTGAACTAGCTACCTAGCTTCTGGGAGGACTTCTAAAGATGTGACGTTCCAATTGATCTAAATGTTGAGGACGCTGTAGCAGATTTGGCATGACAGAAAAATTATCCCCCTTCTAATTACTTTGCTAAGCCTAGCCAAAGAAAAATGCAGATCTAGAAAGAGAGCCCCAGCTATGCTAATATAAAAAGTAAACAGGAGATACATTAACAGTCATAATACTTTATTCTCTTTTATCATTGTAAACAAACCTTAGTCATTAACAGAGAAGTTCTTTTTAACTGGCAGTAGTCAATCCCTTTTTGCTGAGAAAAATTCAAACCTCCTTGATAATTGCACTACTCGTGACACAAGGCAGTTAGTCAGGATCAAAATTTGAGGTTCTGCTGGTATGAGAAAGATCCCTATGATTCTGGGTGAAGAACATCAAATTACAACAAACACTATATAAAGTGCATCAGGTACAGTGCAAAGAGGTCAGGACGAAAGGCAGGTACGAAACTGACAGGTCTGCACGGCAAACTCCACTCTGTGCTCTGTACAGCTGAAGGAACTCGAGCAGAAAAGAAGGTATTACAGAAATGCAGATTTGGATACCCACAAACAGTAAAACCTCCTCCCCCTAATTATAGATTTAAAAACGACTGAAGACATAGGTAGTGTCACGTTTTAGGATTAGCCTAATGGCTGTAAGCTGATGGAAAGCTACGTCAGTCTGGCCAAAGAAACAAAAGCTTTCATTAGTACTGCTCACTAATGGGATAAGGTAAATCTGTGGTCAGGGGATTCTGAAAGCTCCATGAGGTCATTTCTGACTGCTTCACCGAGACATTTCTTGCCCTGCTCTAGTAAGCAGAGTACCTCCAAAGAGAGGTGTTTGTGTCAGTGGGGCACTGCTCTTGAAACCTTGAAGAAGACGGAACAAATCCTTTCCAACACCATGGAAGCCTCTTCTTTCATTACAGTGAGCTTGGGGTTAGTGCAAAACTCTTACTTGACAGTCCCAATTATTTTATGTACTAAAACTATTTACAATTAAGTTACACTTCAGAAAACCTGTCATTTCTTTTGAAGTAAACAACTTTTTAACAAAAAAGTTAATTAGTTTTCCTACTTCTGCTGAAACACATGTAAACAGTAAAAACAAACTGTTGTGGAACGCCATGTTTTGTTCTGGTTTTCTTTTTTTTTTTAAAGGTCATATTACTATCTACCACACTTCTACCAATTTTTCATGTCCCAATCACAGTTACAGGGAAGCAGCTGCTTTTTTCAGCATCCCTCATTACACAGCCATTCCACAAAAATTGCTGCTTTTCTCATAAAACTGATTAACCTAACACTTCCAGAGCAAAGCCTGTCTAGACAATAGGTACAGTTTGGTGTTCTATTGTACTTGACAACAACAGATTATCCTGGTAATAAATAAATAAATCCCTGTGTGACAGGAATACAAGACCACCTGCTGAAATTTTGCCACAGCTTGCTTTGTCCATATTCTCTGCTATACCTGATGAAAAACTGTGGAAGTTTACTGTCAACTACTCAGTCATAAAGCTGCATGACAACAATTTTTTGGGTATTGCCATAGCAAAGAAAGAGGTACGTGATTCTCCAAATATTTTAAAGGCTTATTTTCCCTTTGTACTCCCCTTACAGCGTATGCCCTTTATAACTTCATTCATCTAGTAGAGGCTGAAGTGCCATATGTATGGCACACATCACACAGTGTGACTGGCAAGTACAAACCTGCTATAAAGAATCAGTTCCTACCTTTTCAAACAAACAAAGGAAACTGGGTACAGTGTACTAGTGGAGGGAATTAAAAAAAAAAAAAAAAAGAAGTAGCAATGGTTTGTATAGAGGCTTAAAAAAAATCTCTGAATTTTAGTCTTTGTAACAGAAGATCTCTCCAATCTTGAAAAATGTTACAGGAAACCCATAATTACAAAGTTTATCCTCTAGACTACATTGAGTTGATAAAATTTTTCTGTCCTCTCTATATGTTTTCTGGATTAAAAATAAACCCCATATTAAGTTCAGTGCTTTCAAAAAATATCACCCCCCCAAAAAAATTAAAAACTAACAAATACCAAAAGCCAAAACCAGAAAGAGAAATGCTCTCTCCATACACCTAAATCCTTGCTTGTTCAGTTTGAAACTACCCCCCTCCCTCTGTCAGAAAAAGAGCCAAAAAATGCCCTGAGGTAGTGACTGTGTCAAAATACAGGACTGGCACTTGTAATTTAGTTCCCTCCCCACCAAAGGCACATTAGCAGCATCCATTTCCCACCAACATGAGTCAAAAGACTTCCACTTTACCAAGAACTGTGAACCAGACACCTTTAAGCCGTCTTGAAGCCTTCTCCTCCTGTATGATGGTGAATGTGAATTACTTATTACTTCCTGGTGCCCTGGGGAAGCCGATTTCTCATCTTGGGCTGGTGCACTGAGAGCCACTGGGCACAGATGGCCTTGACAACATCGTCGCCGCTGCTCTCGGCCAGCTGCCACACGTGCTGCACCAGCTGCACCGCCCTGGCCTTCTCCTGCCTCACCGAGACCAGATACGCAGAGCGCAGCTTATTACACAGCACGTAGGCCTGGATCTGCAGCAGAAGAGGCAATCAGACCTTGGTTAGAAATCTGTAGTAAACTGACTGGACAAGCCTAAGCAAAGATTCACGGGAAATACCCAGTTCAGAAGTCTGTATTAAAAAGTAGTAGCACCATATTACCAAACAGAGTATGGCACGAAGCAAATTCCAATGAAAAAGGTGGACAGACAGCTGTATTTTATTAAGTTTGTGTCTTGTAGAAACTCCTTTATTGTAAGACCATGAAAATAGCATCAGGAATCCTACCTTGTGCATTAATTTACCATATCCTCATAGCAAGGAGTCTAAACCTGTCATTTTCTTCCATTGCTGTTTCTAGAACAGCTCCCATCTTTCAGTGAAAGACCTTACAAAATGGCACAATTAAAAGCCACTTTGTAGCAGGACAGAGAACAGTCACAAATCTTAACATTTCATTCCCAGCTATGCCACTCAGGATCTACAAGAATGCACAAACCCTGAGCCACAGCCTCTATAAACATGTATCTATAGTTCACATATTTATGTGTGACTCTCCAGTGGCTTGGCCGGCTGCTATGAAAGAAACAATTTTGTTTCTTTGCTGCTAGCAAAGAAACAAAGTAGTTTAGGCCTTACTTCCTCTAAGAGAAAAAAAAAATATCAGAATTGGAGAAGTTTTATCATCCTACTCTTGATCAGCATAAAACAGCATAATCCTGAAACAGTAAGCTGAAATGGTCATCATTAGCTGTCTGCCGTTCCTAGAAACATGAAAAGCTGAGTAACAAAACCAACAAACCCACCAGTGTGTCTCTCTGAAATACTTTTTCCCCCACTATAAGAAATGCCTAGCTCTCACTCTGAGGACTCTCAAGTTGCTAACAGAGATAGTACCAATTAGTACCTTCACGTCACAGCTCTACAGTCACAAACACCAGGGCCTTGAGGAATTTGCTATGATATCTACAATCTAAGAACTAGCCTTCAAAAACCTGTCTTGCATGAGGATGAGAAAGAAGATCACGAAAGAGAACCCACAGGCTGTGGACCAAGACTTGGCTGTTCAGCTCCTGCTCTACTGTACTTTTACTTACCTTGTTTTCATCACTGTCCATATCCTGAATGAGATTATCGAGATCCTGTATCCAAAGAAGGGAAAAGGTGTTCACATTTAAAGTGACAATAGTCTGCAAACCTCTAACCCCATCAGAGATCAAACCCCTGTAGACCGAAAGGGCTGCTGAGATCACAGCAGGTGGTTACACTGTCCCAACTGCAAAGGCTGCAGATGTAGAAAATACAAAAAAATACAA